AAAAAAAGGGGGGGGGGAACATGACTTACTGGACAGGTGAATATTTGGCCTCTCCCAGTCACATCTGAGTTAACTATTTAGAAGAGAGCCAAGTAAGAAGACCAGCGAGAGAGCAAAACCACACATTACACAGGGAGAGCATTTGCCAGAAATACAGCTATGAAACATGCCCCCATCACCACTCCTATAAAAAACACTGACTATTAGAAGAGAAAATATAGTCCAGTCCCTTCCTTTGTGGTCTAAGAACTGTTCTCTCTCATTACTATCCAAGTTTCTGTCCTGCACCTCTGGGCTCAGGGTGCAGTTTCCACGAGGTAGCCACAGTTTCTCTACCATGTTAACTACTATCATTTGAGGTTCAATATTGGAAGCGGTGAGATTGTATACTTGCTCCATCAGACCAAAGGTATGGGTGTCATTTAGCCCAAGGACCCTTCTGTACTGATGAACTCCTAACGCTTTTCAAAGAGGTGCAACAAGTTTTAGGGGGCACAGATATTGATTTCTCTTGAGCATAGGCAATGTTTCTTCCTTGTTCCTGTTGCAAAAATATTTAAAATCATAGTCTATAGAATCCATGTCTCTTCTCAGCTTTTAAAGTTTGAGGTTTTTATAATCTAATGCAATTTTGGATGTTCAGAAGAAAATAATTTCTTTTTCTGAAAAAAACCCCATTTCTTTGTTTTTGTAAGCGAATAAATGCTTGTATTTCTTCTGTACCATTTACAGATTCAGGGACATTGCCATCCTTGCAATTCCATGGCTATTTTTTTTCCTTTCCAGGTTTCTAATCCTCCTCTTCACGTAGCATTTACTATATGTCTTTTAAAAACTGGATCACCAGTCACCAAGAGTATTTATCATATAGCACATGTTCACTCCTTTTCTATGTACACAGTTTTTCCTTCCCCCCCACCAGCCCCTCCTTCAGCACAGCACAGCACAGAGGTTTTTGGTGAGCAGTCCACAGTGATGGCCAACACGACTGATGCCTTGTTCTTTTTAAAGTTTGCTGCATATGGTGAATGCCTCTTAGCAAAACAGATTGTGAGCTCCCCTGCCAGAAGTGAACTATCTTTCCCCTTTGATGTGTGTCTGGAACATAAAACATCACAGATGCAAGTTGTGCTGAACAAGAAAGAGTGCCCTTTATTTCAGTCTTTCAAGATCTGATTCATGCTGGCTTTATGGTTCTTTGCTCTCCCCTCGTTTACAAAGGATGAGGGACTTTGGGTACCACTTACACCTAGAACTGTGGGAGCCTATTGTGCCAGCAGAAAAAGTCTCAATGTGAGAGGTGGAGATTTCAGCAAGGTTTCATTTTAAGGAACAGCATCCAAGAGATTCCAAAGACGTGGGGAAGATAAAGATACCCATAAACTGACAAAGCCACAGGCTATTTGATTTCTTTGAGCCTGAGGCCTGATCTATGAAAATTAAGCCAATACAGAAGATTTTAGGGGGAAAAAAATTTGCTATTTTTAGAAAACCATTTACAACAAGGCTGTCCTTTCATCTCTTGTTTTCTTTTGTTGTTAATGCAGCCACCGGGTTGACAGAACAGATCAAAAGAAACATCAGAGAACAAATTAATCAAGCTGTTGCGCCAACTTGGAGTGCTTACACCTCCAGCATAATTACGCATGAAGCTGGGGAAGGTCTGGAACACCAGCAGCAGCAGCACCGTTTGCCAAAAGAAAATAGGGCTGGGCACACCATCCGCTCCAAGCCACCCTTCAGGGTGACGCTGTCTTAACAGCTGCTCCTATTTATACATTGTTTAGCGTGGTTTTTTTTCCCCCCTCCCCCTTTCCTTCTTTTAAGTTCTTCTCCATCCCACCATAGATCAGGAAGTATTGATCACACCACCTTCCTCAAGTCCCAGCCAGTGTTAGAACAGGACAAATTCCTGATGTGTGACTAAATGTGGAAGAACTAGACCAGTTCAGCCACAATGGCTAGAAAATGAAATAACGAGCAGAGAGTAGCATGAGAGAAACTATATTCAAAAGATATAAACAAGAGACAAAGCCTTCAAATATTTTAGCTGTGGAAAGGCTATATTCTACACTGTTTACTGATTTAATACCTGTTAGCTACAGGAAATTTTAAGTATGTGCAACACTTACTAAAAGAATATTAAAAAAAAAATGCCAGAGCATTGTCTCTGCTGCCAAATAAATTCCCCACCCCAATGCTGATATGACTGACAATTACAGTTTCAGACCGGGTCGTCATCATTTCAGAATTATTAAAAGCAAAACTGGCAAAAGGAGAGAAGAAATCTGAAGCCATCTCTTTCCATTTTGCAATTAATAGAGGAAGACAGGGCAAAGACGAAAATCCCACAAGTCCCTACAAAGCCATTTCCCCCAAACCGCTGGAGTCCTCTTTGGTGCACTTGCTGGATGGAGTGTTAGCAAGGTCACTGCCGCGGAGCCGCGTCCTGAGCCCAGGGCTGCGAAAGCTGCTGAGATCACAGGACTGTGCTCATCACGCTGCTGTCACTTGCTCAGACGCATCCGCTTCAGTGGAAAACATCCTACTTCCAAACTATCTTTTCTTTGTTTAATTGTAACAGGAAGAAGAGCTGCTCGGAGATGGAGGATGGCCACAAAGTCATTTCTTTGATGGAGAGCGTGGAGCTGGCAGACAGTCCCAAACTTCAGCTGCATCATTTCATCTGCCTGAACTCCCAAACCACTTGTGGCTCAAGTCAGTCCCAGGAAGTGCAATAGCCCCCTCTCTGTAAGCAGACTCCCACATGACCACCTCTGATTTATAGGAAATGATGGAAAAAAATAAATAAAAGGAGCTATGGAGGTCACGTGCTTTACTGGGAAAACAGTTTATTTCCAAGATCATGAAGAGTCAGAAAAAAAACTCCTCCAACCCACCACTCCAACATTACACATTTAGCTTCATAATATCTCTACAAATTGGTGCACCTTGGCAAACTTGCAGCTTGCCTTTGATCTGTGCATCTTCATACATCCCTACCAGACCGTGGCAGAGGGAGCTATGGCTAACAATCTAGAAATGCCAGAGTTGGGCTCAGCATGTAAAAAAAGAAGTAGCTTAGTAAAACTGAACATTTCCAAATGGTAATAAATCAAGATGGACAAGTCAAGTACTATGAAGCACAAAGTGGGGCTGGGGACGGGCTTGTAGCAGGAACCCTGCCTGCAAGAAGGGCACAATGACAACAGAAACTGTAGCCCAATTTCCAGATAATTGGAAGCTATTTCAGAATGGAAGTGCCCTGGTAGGGGAGAGGGAGAAGATTGAAATATTGATGTCTTGAGGAGCAGATGGTTCTTATTTCCTATGGGATTCCATAAATTATAAACAAACATCTTATGCTTTTCTTTTTTCTTTTTTTTTTTTATAAATCAGCAGCCAGATGGGGGGGGGGAAGCTATCAGCAGCTGTGGCACTCTTCAAATACTCAATACTCTACAAGCTTGCAGAGAAGTCCCAAAGAATTTAAGTCAGCAGCAAGATGCTTCCCCCTCTGACTTGATCTTTACTCTGTTCCAGAGTCTGGCTGGCCCATGGAAAGTATTGCCACCGCGTGGTAAAACTCTGCCTTGAGCACTGATCCTCCAACTTTACACCAAAGCACTGGCACACGAGTTCACCACAGTATTCTACTTTCAAGATGACACTGTGTGCTTCTTCCCAAGAGACAGAATGGTTCTCAAGGACAAATATAAAGCACCTTCCCCCTTTACAACGTCGAGGGCTACTGTCTAGAAGCAGGGCTTTTATTTCCCATCAGGCTATAAACAACACACCACAATATTCTATACAATGTGAAGGACAGAGATGAGACAGAAACATCAGATACCTTATCTGTAGGAATGACACAGTAAAAAAAGCTTTTTGTAATGGGATGGGCTACTGATGGCCTTCCCCTAGCTCCTCCGATTTCCCAGGGAATGGGAGGCAAATGGCCACATACAGGTTGCCCAGAGAAGCTGTGATGCCCTATCATTGGAAGTGTTCAAGGTTAGACTGGACAGACCTCTGAGCAACTTATCTATTGAAAGACATCCTTGCCCATGGCAGGGTGGGGTGGACTAGGTGATCTTTAAAGCTCCCTTCCAACCCAAACCATTCTGTGATTCTATGGTTTCAGTTCCCCACATCTCTGCTGCTATGGTGTCACAACAGGACAGTACCCCACAGAGACCTCTATTTCTAGACGTAATTTCTAGAATTGTAGAACAGACAGGGCTGGGACTGGCAGAAACTTTTTCTTAATTAATTTCAACCGCTACCTGTGAAACCAGAATTCTTTCTGAAAACAGAATCCCTGTTCTCCCTAAAGAATTCAGTCCCTTAAAGAAGAAACCAATCTGTTTTTGCTGAGAAGTCAAGCAATGAATTTCACATATGCACAGAGATGGCCTAAGCTAAATATCACTGTACAAAGAAACATTCATCTAGATCTACCGCCTATCTTCATCCGAGGCTGCCACAAACATTTCCACAGCTGTGCAGCAAGCTATATCAGGATACCACTCTGGGTTAAAAATAGCCTTTCTAGTCAAGTCAGTTTTAGCCCCGAAAAAGTCATTCCTTGATCAGCTGACCACAAGCATCAAATATGCTTGTGCCTGCACAGGGAAGCCTCTTCCAGTGCAAGAGCTGGCTTATGCCATAGTTAACACATGTAAAACTATGGTTGAATTTTCACAAAGGGAAGGAGAAAATGAAAAAACAAACAAATAAATAAAATCAGCAATATTGCTCACATTCTTGATCCAGAAGCAGCTTCCACCTGAGATATGGAATGAATCACTGCTTCTGCACATGGCTAGAAGCTGCATCTACTTGCAACACTGTGGTAAGCAACAGACCAGGGCCCTGATTCCCAAAATGTATTGTAGCACTTTAACTCACACTAATGTCAATAACTTGGAGAATTCAGATCCAATTCATTAGCAGGTTCTAATGTAAAGGTATAAATACAATATCCCTTTAGAAACTTGTTGGTAAAAGAATGAGGAGACTGGATACAGAATTCATCCAAGAGGACTGTATATTCCCATGAGAATGCTCACAAAAAAAGCTGCACTTAGGCAAGGATTTGCTGATAACAAGAATACACAAGCTAGACAGAGCAGGAACAGCTCTGAGTGCTTTTAGTTAACTTTCTCAAAAGGCTAAGCATTTTACAGCTCCCAGCACAAGATAATCAAGTAATCCAAGGCCTGCAACATCCAGCTACCTTTGGAAGATGCTACAGCTTACAGTATCTTTAGTTGGTATGGACTTAAAAGAAAGTACTAGTGTCTTTTCCAGCTTACCATTGCTGATTTCAGGCAGATCAAATTTAGTGAAGTCCCACCACTGGAGTCGGTAGGTGGTGTTGGCAATGTTGCTGGCCACAGCTGACTGTCCATCCCCAATCACAGCACCTACAGAAAAAAGGGGAAGCAATTAGCAATTTAACCTTCAGCAGATGATCCAGAAAAGAGCTGGGGAGACAAAACCATAGAAAACCTTTCAAAATCCAATACACAAATCTAGATTCTTAAAGAAATCTTATTTACAGAAATGGAAACACCTCTTAATAAACAAAGGACAGAGCACAGGAAATTAATAGGAAAGCACGTCCCTGCAACACATTTCTGAAGGAAAAGAAAGTTGATGAGAGATAAGACTTGCCCAGACTCACAAGGCAGAAATCCTAATCAATTCATTTGGTGCAAATGCATTTTACTTATTGGTAGTAGTGAAGCTGTATTTTCAGAAATCCAAAATTTTCTAGTACAGCTATGAAGGCAGACCTGAATAAATACTAAAGAAAAGCATTGCCCTGGCAAATCACACACATTTGTGGACCATAATCCCTGCTACTCCTGTAAACTCCACTCAGAAAATACAGGTTGCCTACAATATTTGCCACACAGTAAAGACTGTAATATACTATATCAGTAAGGAGGACCTATGAGCTGGCCCCCTGCTGTTCTGGGTAGCCCAGCCTACAGAAGGCAGAGGCTGCCCTGACTCCAGGCAAACAACACAACCCCTGCTAACTATCCAAGGATTTGGGCAACAGCTTAAAGCAGAAGGCTAAGCAGAAATCCTTCAGAAACTAGCACAAAGAACATAATTTTCCAGGCAGAAAGGAACTGCCACTGGTAACTCAAGTCAGCATACATTTGAGAACGCTCAGAGGCATTAAATGCATTCCCCGGGGAAACAAGTGGAGAGAAGAAACAATTCTCCCATAATAGTACCAGAGTTAGAAATCTGATGCTATTTGCAGTCTCTAAGGCCTTCATACACATGCAGACCTTGTATATACACACATGCTGGCACCCAGAGAAACTCAAGGTAATAGAATTTGTTACAGAAGAGCAAAACAAGATCATCCTCAAGCACAAATGAGGAAAAGCACAGCCTTCAAAGTCCACGCAGCCTGGATTTCAGCTTCTCCACACTGTCTTCAGTGGGAAGCACACAGAGAAGTCAGTGGCTTCACTCTCCTAGAAGGGCTGGCTCAGGACTCTGCTGCTACAGCAGCAACAGTGGAAGAGACATCACTTTCACAACTCTGGATCCAGCACACAGCAGCTGCCTGTGCAGAGGTAAAAGCTTGCTAACTGCTAGGAAATGAAAGTGCTGTGGAAGAAAATGAGGAGACAAGGGTGGTTGGATTTGTACTTTTCTTATCAAATCCCAGCAGAATAAAAAAAAAAAAAAAAAAAAGACCTGAAAACACACACACACACTAACAGGGTTTATGTTTTTTCTGCAAAGTAAAGAACAAGGTGAGAAGGGCAAAGCAAGGAAACAAATTCTAGACCGGTACTGATAAATAAAGACACGAAGAAGGCTGCTGCTAGTCCTCTTCTCATCGATAAGCTGTCTCAAGTCCAGATTTTTGGTTCTGGAGAAAGCTCAGAAATATGCCAAGAGCAAGACTTCTGAGCAGACAGCTTTACTCTGTGTACTCAGCTGTGCCAGGCCTCCAGCAACCAACAAACCTCCACCGTGCGTCTGCTCAGTCTCCGTATCTGCCTCTGTCAGACGTGCACGGATCACTCGGCGAGCAGAATTAAGAACATTTCCATTGCTCTTACATACGCCCAAGGCCCTGTTCTTCATATCGTCCAAAACAAAGGGCTTCTCTGAACAAAAGATATGCACTGGAGAAAGCAGATTCAATGCATTAATGAAATTACATTTTGCAACCAGGAGTGGAAGGAGGACAATTAAATTTTATGTTGCTTCATCTGTAAAAGTCTCCTCATCGCAAGGCTGGGTTGGGTACACAAGGGCAGCTCTTCTGCCGTGATGCCTCCAGCCACCAGGTGGAGAACAGAAAACTACTTTCTGCACAAAATTCAAGCAGCGGGACACGCTGCAAGGAAACAGTAACTTAACATCACCAACTAGGTAGCAACTGCCTTACAGGACTGAGTCAGAGAAGGAAAACACTCTGCAAAGACAGGCAAGAGAAGTATTACTCAGGGTACATAATTCCAGAATATTGATCTTACTACAAAGTCATCACCTGTTCTGCAATGAGAACAACTTTTGTAGGCATAGCAAGTAATATATAAACTGGAGAATAATATACACCATAGGAGAGTAATTGTGCACTCCCTCTGCATCACAGAAGCCTTAGCAACATCACTAACTGCTCCAAAACCAGCAAGTTCACCTGCCTCATACAACCGTTGCACCTACAACTACAAGTACCACCAAAAAAGCTGCTGGCAAACAGTTTTGAATTTTTTTCTGTAAAGATTCTGGTCTTTTCATCCCTTTCCCCAGAACATTCAGGTTAGGTAAAGTGTTCATTTAAACCTCACATCGTCTTCACCTCCAAAGGCAGTCGCATCCTACAAGGAAAAGCTAATAATGGAAAAAATCATCCATTTACGGGACTGCCCTGCACAGATTTCAGAGGCAGCAAAAGCTGTCAACTAATGCTAGTGCTTCAGGTAACAGAAACCTTTATTAAAAAGATTAGGACACAGGGAACAAAGTTCATAGAGTGAAAGGTGCATGTTCAGAACAATTTGGTCCATTCCTCAAAGGCTCCAAACCAGTAGGCCTAACACTAACGGCAAATCCACGATGTTGTTATTAAAGTAATTACACAGAATCACAGAATGTTGGAATTGGAAGGGACCTCAAAAGATCATCCAGTCCAATCCCCCTGCCAGAGCAGGAACACCTAAAATTACCTCTACTTATACTAATTATATGACTGAGAAGCATAATTATTAAATTATATCTAGCTACATATAACAAAGTGGAATAGCATTTGTATCTCAAGTCCTGCCAGAAGCCTCCCACATGCACGCATGCACTGTCCTACAGCAAAGATGATAAAAAGCATGCCAGCATTTCAGACATTCAATTTAGGGAGGAAAATACCCCCTGGGACACAACGATGCCATCGTAACCTTTGTCGTTTGCTTTTTCCATTGGTTGATAGGAAAGATTTGAGACCATGGGTGGAAAACTTCATAGAATCACAGAATGGTTTGGGT